GTAGAGCCCCAAAGAGACTTTTAGATTTTACCAAATGTCCTGGCACAACAGACCTAAGCAGCCTTAATTCAATTCAGGTCACCACTGAGTATTTGTAAGCTGTACCCAATCTACATGGACCTTTTGGTCTATGGTAGTTTGGTCATGCTCTATTTAGCATGATGGAATTGAAGATATGGAAAATCCAAAAGCTTCTAGTGGGAATCACCATCAACAAAATATGCTGGAGGACCAAACAATTTTGAACTCTCTGTTGAACAGTTGAACAGCCATATCTAGAAGAGTATCTTCCACATTTGTAGAAAAATAGACTTCAATTTCACATTACTACTAACTTAAAGAGAAACCATAAGTCAACATATCAACCTCCAGAACAGCACCATCTAGTGAATACCAGGTGAGAATACTTAATCTTAAATATTCTGCTAGCTGCATCAAACCAAGTAAATGAATAGATGAAAATAATGACATATGTATTATTTAACCCAAAGTTTCCAAAATTTTGTCTGAACATGTATTCAGTATGAAAATTATTACTGTGTTATTTAACAGTCTATTTGTTACATTAGATATTCATAGCTCAATTTGAATTAACCACATTTCATATGGTCAATAACCACATGTAACAGGTTTTCCTTGTCCATCTATTGCATGTACTAGGTTGCAGTTGTCTTGGTTCTGCTGCGCTTTAGGGCTACTGGGTAGTTTAAGGTGTCTTCACAGGCTGTTTATCCCCATTGCTAGAGTGGATGCCTCACTCTAGTTTTCTGTTTAGCAGCTACTCATGACTCCTCTGTTAAAGATGCTGAGCCAGTGGCTCACTCCCATTCTTGGTTCTCACTGTTGTTTGGTAAATGTAGAGATGTGCCAAGGAACCAGATGTGACATGACAAATCTAAGTCTTGTAGGTAGAGTAAAAATTGAGTAATAGAATTTGATACTTAGTTTTTCACCGCAATCTGGAGCATGTCATATCAATAATGTCTTACTGTCCTAGAAACTTATCAGCTTTCTTGACTAGTTTATTTCTGGATTTAAAATACAGAAAATTGTAAATCATACCTCTTAGTTTATGATACCATATAATTGATCTGTGTTCTCTCTTGACCATCAGTATGGATCAACTGATAGTCATCTATCAATTTTCACCTGCAGTTATCCATCTACCCATTTATCTTATCCATTGATCTCATTTGAGTTTTGTTTCTCAATTTCACACTGCTTTACCATTCTTCCCCCTAGCATAAGCAGCCATTTTAATGTGCTCAATGATATCCTTGTTTTGTTTATTTTGGTACTGGGGATCGAACTCAGGACCTTGCATTTGCAAAGCAGGTGGCGGAAACACTGAGCTAAATCCCCAGCCCTATATCCTTGTTTTTTATGTTCTTGTAAAACATATGTTCATGTATTTTAATTTACACAACTATCATTATGCTACATAGCTCATTATATTTTCTTTTTTATCATGCTGACATATTGTTCTTAAGCGCTAGCCATGTAGCTGTGTGGTCATCTAACTTTTTGTAATGCTGCAAAATACTTAGTAGGCATCTACCATGTTTAACCTATATGCAAGTGATGGGCACCATGATTGCCTCTCATTTCCCACCACCACAAGCAATACTGTGAAAAATGTCATAGAGCATGTTTCCTGGTAAGTGAAATTATTTTCAGAATTATATCCAGGAATGGGATTAATGTGTCACAAGGAATAGTCACTTTAACTAAGTACTATCAGATTGTTTCTGGAATGTCTATACCAGTTTATGTTTATATTAGCAGGGAATGAAGGTTTGTATATTATCATTTACCTCCCCCCATTACATTCTCTAGCTTTCAAATTTTAATCATTCCAATGAGTTTCTCGGAATTTTCAATGCTCTTGTGTCAAAATTCATAATTGAGGCATATAATTGGGAAGCAAAAGTAGGTGATAAAGTCCAGTTTTCTATTTACTTTTAAAATATTTGACCAGGGCCAGGTATTTAGCTCAGTGGTTCTGCCACCTGCCTTGCAAGCGCAAGGTCCCTAGTTTGATCCCTGGTACTCCCCCCCCCCAAAATTTGATCATATGTTGGTTACTCCAGTACTAGAGGCAATAACATCATTCGTATCATGTTTTAAAAAGACAATAAATAAGAGAGTAGAATATCTGGGTAAAGTAAATATGCTCAGAATATATGACAGCCACTGGTCACTTCTGTATTTGTCTAGAAGGCTGAGGGATACATTCTTTAATAGTCCCAAGAAGCCTGCTCTTGGTCTGGACCTGATTCTAGTGGAAACTCAAAAACCAATAAATTGTCTAAAACTGATGGTGCTTTCATATATTCTTTAGAAATCTACTCCACTAGATCATAGCATAACCCAGGAAAGCTTGCTCACAAAGACGTTGCCAGTATGAGTCAAAGAGAAAGAGTAGGATGCTGAAGCCTGATGGGCTAGGGGAACTGACTTCAATGGTAAGCTGTTTCTAAGGTATCATAAGAGCAGTCAACACTGAGTAACAGACTCTAAAATTCTGAATCCAGTGTAAAATACCTCCAACACTCTGTAGTCTGGTTTCCCAAATTTGCTCTGGAAATCATTGGAAAGACTATGTTTTAAAATTTCCTAAAGGTCAGTCATTCAGTTCTTCCCCTTTTAATACTTAAAATATCCCCTTTCTCACCAAGGGCTCTCTAGATTATATAAGTATATAATGCATATGTGGTCTTTTCTTAGAGCCAGTAGAAATTTAAAAGACTTCCATAAAGAAGAGGGGAACCCAAGGCCATACTGCATTGTAAGTGGGGAGTAGAGTGGTGGTGACTTCTATATATTGTCCTTACCAACTACACATTGAATTCCAATGAATGAACCGGACAAAGATTCAGTGACTTCACAATCAGCATGGATTCAGTATATTTGATCAGCATCTATGGATTTCATATCTATGGATTCAAACAACCATGAAATGAAAATATTTGGGAAAAAACTGTTCATACTAAACATGTACTGTACAGGCTTTTCCCCCTTGTCATTATTTCCTAAACAATATAGGGTAACAACTACTGTATTTAAATAGTAGTTACATAGTAGTAGGCATAGAAGTAATCTAGAGATAATTTAAAGTATTCAGAAGGATATATACAGAGTATATATAAAGTATATATTGTGACATATTATTTTCATAATATGTCACAATGAATGACATTGTGAATGTCATTTTACATAGAGTACTTGAGGATCCTTAAATTTTGGTATCAGAGGGGGTTGTGGAACTCATCCCCAGGGATACCAAGGGAAACTATATAACATGTTGATTGTATAGGTGGCTTTACGGTCTTTCTGAGCCATGTACCAAGAGGAGCCCTGTGTCATTGTAAATAAGGGTGTCTTTATGTCCATGCCCTCAAAAATGTGCACTAACATTTACTGTGGTAATGAATAAGTGAAAACAGAAGACAGAGATGTTGATTTACATGCATACAAAGATCACAAGTGTTTAGCTACTATTCTGCTATATGAGAAGTAGTAATTATAAGGAAAGAGAACTGAGTCTAAAGAAGTAAATTCGAGGATATCTGCAATCAGAAAAAAAATTACAAGTGACAAAATTTATACACATATTCTTTTAGATATTTATTTATAATTATGTTGATTGTAAGATAATTTTAGAAATGATCCTATACAGTCTTGCGGATTTAAGAGAGGCCCTACTCCTTGAACAAAGGCAAAATGAGGTCATTTCACAGTTTGTTACCAACGTTGGGGTTCATCTCCACACACTATCCACTCTGGCTGGCACCTCATTCACGGAGGCAGCTGCAAAGTATTCTGTTTTACTTTCATGTTTGTAAAACCTCAGAAAAGTCTGCATAAAATCCTCACCCTTCCCACCCAGCTTAAAGTCACTTTTAGTCCCAAAGCTGGAACAAGGTCTGGGGGGTCCTCAGGGCTTGAGCACTGGTCATGCTCCTCAAAATCAGATGCCAGTGGATACCCAGGAGAGGATGCTGGGGGCAAGTTCATTGTCAAGGGTGAATGGGGTTAAAGATAATATGAATCCAATCCACAGGGATAACAGATCATGTAGCAAGTAATAATTAGAGAAGCCATTCCCACTATGTAGATGGGGAGAAAGATCTGAGTACGTGGGCCAGAGATGTGAGACATTTGCAAACCCGATTAAAAATGAAGGACTTAAAATACTAGATTGTGCCAAATGTGTTTACATTAGAGGAAGACAAGTTAGCACTGCTGATAGCTCTACTTTCAGAGACTGGGTGTGAGAAGCCAGTGAACAAAGGCTGGAGGAATAGGGCTGGGGCCAGAAGCTTTTAATCCTGTGTGTTGGGGCAAATTTAGAAGTGCAACATCTGCAATCAGGCAGAAATGGAGACTTGGGAGAGGTGTTTGCCTATTGGCTTTCCTCTGCTGTATGGATATGGAGTATGAAGCTTCTTTAGGCTTCATTGGAAAAATCAAAGTAAAGGCTATACCATAGTCCTGAGGTAGACAGAAAAAATAGGTAAGAAGAAGAAGACAAGGAGAATCATAATCTTTAAATTGTGCTTTTAATAAAAACTGCAGCTTCAAAAATGAAGGAAAAATTCCTAAGGACCTTAAAGACAATAATCTATGAACTGACCTCTGAGCCTATGCTTTTCAACTGTACATAGTACTCCCCCGTCAATCCCCATCCTAAACAGGCACACATAATAAGACATATTTTAGTTTCAAGCACATGTAAATGGTTTGCTTTTAAACACAGCTCACCAAATGGGCAAACCCAACAGATACTAGAATATACAACTTAGATGACCCATTTTAGGGACACACCTAAATCCCCATAAATGTACACATCTAGAGCACAAATGTACCCCCCCTCCCCCACATTGAGGGCTGTACTCTTTCTTTGAGTATGTACTTTAAAAATTCTGCCTAATCAAACTATGCTTCTTACTGAAGCACTCTGAAAATTCTTTTTCTAGGTTGGAAAACCTACAACTTACCCTGTGGGTGGAGTAAGATGAGGTTCCCCAGCTCCACTTCAGAGACCCCTTCAGACCCTGTCTGGTGACAGTCCCAATAGCCAAGAGCAGTGTGATCACATCTTCTCTCCACCTTGGTTCCCAGGCTGCGGTGCTGACAGGGAGCTATGCTCAAGGTGGGAGGGGAGAGGTATTTTTCCTTTGCTTCATTTCCTCACATCCTGAGGAATTGAGGGATAATACAGACTTTCTGCTTTTAATGATTGACCAGTACTTTAGTTAGTCCAGTTTCTTCTGACTCATTGTACACAGGAAATGAAAAATAGAGTGGTAAATAAATTGCTTCTAGCAGTTTTGTCCTTCTAACATGAGTTGGTGAAAGTTTTGGGGGAAAGAAGATGAATTTTTCTAAATGAGCAATACAAAGTACATTTCAGATAAATAAATTCACAGAATATTTTGGACTACAGATTATAAACTACTCAGTGGGATTATAAATATATATTTCATTTCAATGTAGCTGTTTAAGTGCACCAAGTAGGCGAGCTAGTTGGTTTAAAAGAATTTAAAAACATTGTTTTAAATTTTCACTGGGCAGTGAACTAACCATTTCCGCCCTCTCCTTCCCACCTCCCCGCCTCCCGCCCTCCCTTACTCACCTCATTGCTATTATTTGAATTCAGTGCATAATGGTAAAGAGGTGTAGCACCTCAGTTCATTTAGTCTGGCCAGAGCTCCCAGTTGTTCTGATTTCGTCATGTTTCTAACATTTGTAAAGGGTAGACTCTGAAATTATAAACGAAGGGTGTTCCTTTTCTTGCCCTTGCTCTTAAAAATATTTAGCATTTTTAAGCTTCTGACATAGTTTTCCGACTATATAATAAATAATATCTAGTTTTAACATTTCTAGTCTAAAATGTAATGAGGAGCAAAAGGCAGGATCCATTAATTTATAATTAAACTGGTTGGGAAACGGGAAGCACATTCTAGCAGATTGGTCCTCAGTGACTGATATGCTCACTGCCATGGAGCCACCACTGGAGGATGATTTATGATTTTTCCTAATGTTTCTCATTCTCATTACAGCAGAGAAGGTCACCCACAGAATCTGGAAACAGACAACATAGCTTGACTTTAGGTGGCTGCCTTTTTCTTTTTCCTTTCACTTAAATTTCAGTATTTACAGCTTACCAGCCTTAAATTTGACACTTAGCAGACATAAACTGTATTCTTGAGAGGATTAAAGGATTATTCACTCACTAACTTAATCAGATAAATCAGAGATTTTAAACAAGATATCTAATGCAATTCACAAGATAAGATGTGTGATCACTGCCTGCTAGTTGGATTTGGCTTGAGTGTACACACATGCACACTTATGTGTGCACATATATTCACGAACACATGTATACAAAGCACATACACATTTTACACATTCTATTATATATAATAATAATTATACTCATGTGATCATCATCTATCAGCTTTTAACACCTCCCTTATCTAAGGACAGAGTGAAAGAGTGAATGAAAAGGTTATGTGCCTATGTTGCCTAATGCTATTAGATTTTAATTTCTTTGTTCATTACAAAGATGAATTTACTTTTAGAGCTGCATTTGTGTTGGGAAACTATCCTTTAAAATAATCTCTGAAACTTTTTATAACTACATAATTATTTCCGTTTTTACAGCTATGATATAAACCTTGAAATTTGAATATTACTAATTGAAATTATAGTGTAATAAGAAAGATGCTGAAAAATAGATTGTTAATTATTATTTCAATTAGTGCTTTTCTGTTCCTATTAGGAGCTTTAATTCTAGTCTATATTTATTTTAATAAGCTCCTTTTTTCCTGCAGAAACAAGAAGCAGCAAAGACCCTTTGTACTGTAGACATATTAAATCAGGATTGGGACCAACTGTCCCATTGTATTAACCCTTATTTTAAAGCAGCCTGAGTTAAGCAGATTTTGTTGGATTGACTTTTATTTGGGTCTTATGCTATTTGGGAGATGAACATTGTAATACTGGGAATATTCTCAAAGACAGCAGCAAAATTAAAGTGTGAGTCCTATTTGTCCACTCCATTAATCAGAATTATTTGATCCAGGAACTTGTGAGGCCCCTGGGAGCAGATTTTAGACACATCTCCATATTGGCC